GGCACTCGCTCGCCAACATATTTGCGTTTGCGGATTTGCTTACACGCGCCGCCTCTCAGAGCCGATGTTGTAGTGGATTTCTTAACACGCCGCCTCTTAAATGGCTTTGACAAAGCACAATGACACCCAGAAGAAAGCGGAAGACTGCGGGAAGACTACGGCCGCGCAGCAGCTGCGCAACTCTGTTTCTCAGGTTGCTGCAGCACCCTGCAATGCTGCAGCAGCGCCCGGCGCAAGTCTGAGTCTTGGTGCCTTGTAGCACTCTGCCCAAAACACCATCCACACTTTGAAGCAGCATGCGCAACTCTGAGTTTCGGCCTGGAAATTACCTTGCAACAACACCCTACGCAACTCTAAGTCTCGGCCTGCGGCAGCACCCTGCCCTGCGACAGCAGCCTGCAACAGCACCCTGCAGCAGCACCCTGCAACAGCACCCTGCTGCAGCACCCTGCGCAACTCTGAGTTTCGGCCTGCACGCACGCTGCCTGCAGCAGCACCCTGCAACCGGGCGCCCTGCAGCACCCTGCACAACTCTGAGTCTCGTCCTGCAGCAGCACCCTTTAGCACCCTTGCAACAGCAGCTGGCCGAAATTCTGAGTCGCGCCCACCCCTCCTTTACTTGAAGTTAGAGCCCGTACAGCTTTCAGCTATCTGGGGAAACAACAAATACACCAGCATAGACCCCCAGATGGCACACCACGGCTACGCACCATGACGCAGCATTATCATGATGATGAAGACAGCACCATGATGATACCACAGCCACTGAGCATGGTGCGCTACAAACGCGCATACAACGTCCTAATGAGTTCAGCAGCATAATGATGATGTTGAGAGCATCATGCTGATACAGTTCTGATGAGTTCGACAGCATCATGATGATGCGGACAGCGTCATGATGATGCGGACAGCATCATGGTGATGCAAACAGCATCATGCTGATGGTAAAGGCAGCATCATGATGATACAAGCACGAACCATCTTGCGACAGCGTATCAGCATCATCCTGATGTTGACAGCATCACGGCGCCACTACAACCACAAACCATAACGCAGCATCGCAGTGACCCCAGTTGCATCATGACGTGGTTGGGAACATCATGACGATACACCAGCCACGAACCGTTACGCGCGAACAGCATCCACCAGCACCCGAAACTGCGTGCCCCTCCACCAGCACCCCAAACTGCATGCCCCCTAGCACCCGGCCGTCAAGCTCGCAAAACAGCATCCACCGGCACCCCAAACTGCATGCCCCCCAGCACCCGGCCGTCAAGCTCGCAAAGCAGCATCCACCAGCACCCCAAACCGCATCCACCAGCACCCCACACTGCATGCCCCTTAGCACCCGGCCGTCAAGCTCGCAAAGCAGCATCCACCAGCACCCCAAACTGCATGCCCCTTAGCACTCGGCCGTCAAGCTCGCAAAGCAGCATCCACCAGCACCCCCAAACTGCATGCCCCCTAACACCCGGCCCTCAATCTCGCAAATCACTTTCCACTCTTCATTAGAAGTTAGAACCCCTATAGCTTTCAGCTATCTGGGGAATAATAGTAATACTAAACAATATTGATAGTGATGATGATAATCATATTAAGTCTATTTTGTACACGCCACTGACAACCAGGGCTCTGTTGCACAGCTCCATGGTGTATTCTGAGATGAAGATCTCTGCCAGGTGCCGGCCAACAAGAGATGTCACTGGAGCAGATGCCGCAGACACCAACATGGTCCTTACTTGGCAACTTCACAAAATGACAAGATATGACAGGCGTGCTTTTTGGTTGGCTCCTGAGCAGAAGCCCACCCAAAAGATGGCAATGGTGACAACCATTATATAGTTCAATTTGAGGGTCTGCATATCCAAGTCCAGGAATATCTTCTTCTGCTTCAGCACCACAGTATGTTCGACAACACCGACTCCCTCCACTTCACGCTTGTCAATGTACTTCATGCCCTGGTTGCTTGGTTCAGACTCAGCCAGTGCATAGCCTCACTTGAGCAAAGCTGTAAGAAATGATCGATTTGCCTCACTTCCTGTGTGGATTTGCCCCAAACAAAATGTTGTTTTGCGCCAACACGGCCTTCCCAAAACGTATGAAGTCGAGGAACTCAGGAAAAAAGGTTTTTGTGACGTTGACAAAAGGACGCACCAACATTGGGTTGCAAGCGAGAGGCTGAACTCTGATGTTGAAGCGCTTGCGTGGCTTCTTTCAGATCTCTGGCGCAAAGGGGCTTCTAAGCTCGTGCCATGAGCATCAAACTCGTCGTTCGGACAAGTGTCATGGATGGCATCAGCCGCCTTGTCTCCCGCCAAAGACTTCAGGTCTGTGAAATCCCGCAAGCCGATCAAGTGACACTGACGGCCGCTGGGCATCTGATATTTAACTTGAAAGACTTCTGTGCGGAACTTGCTTGAACAGCTGTCCACCAGATGCGTATGGAAGGCATTTGCACAGGCATTCGAGGCTCCATGCTGTGAATACGTAAGATTTTGCTCAGCTCTCAGTGAATCTTGTCTCGCCACCAGGTCTGTAAACCGCGCACGCTTCAAGGAAGCGCACCCTTTGTCACGAAGCAGCATATCCTCACGTGTGCACGTGAGGAGCCAGAAACACAACATTCCCCTGTCACGTTCCAATGCTAATGATAAAATATCTCCGATAGTGATAAATCCCCTTTAATCCCAACTGGGAAAACCGACCTGGCGAACATCGAAAGTCTTGAATCATCTTGAATCTTTTGTTGCCCATCGCCGGGTCTCTGCGAGCTTTGGACAATGCTCCACCAGCCTGCAGGGTGCCGCTGGAGCTTAAGGTCCGGTTGCATTTGAGGTCTATTAGCACCACCCCCTAGATTGAAGAGGGGCGGCCTTTACATCTCCGTTTTCGGGTATGCATTGGGGGATAAGACCCATGGTACACTAGTGTTAGCGACTAGCAACAATACCAAGGATACAAACAATTGCCTGATTGTGTATAATAAATGCTGTGCAACAGCTGGCTGTTCTTTCAACAAGTTGGCCCACTTCTCACAAAAGACCCACACAAAACCCACATGTAGTTCGGTGGGCTTCGTGGGGGTTTTGTGAGGGTGTTGGCTGTGGCTTTTGGGAGTGTGGGTATTATCAAGTGGGCTTGCGGGGGTTTGGTGTGGGATTGGGTAGGTCTTGGGTGGGTTTTGAGTGGGTTTAGGTTGTTTGGGCGGTTTGTGCGGGTTTTGTGTGGGTTTGGGTTTCGGGTCTTTGGCGCCGCTGGGTGGGGTGGTGGGCTCGAATGCCCCTGATTCGCCCGGGCTGGTGCTGGGTGAGGAGTTTCCGTGAGGGAATAGGTGGGTTTTGTTTGTGGGTGTAGCGCGGGTTCAGCTAGGTCTTATGTAAGTTCCTGTGGGTCTTAGTCTTGTGCGGCTTACGTGTTTCCATCATCCGTATCAAACGTATAGCAACCATGGTACTCGAGCATGGGCAACCTCAAAAACATGCATCCCAAAATTACGCATATTATGTCTCTCACCATCTACATCAAACACATATTCCACATCAATTGTCGGAGTGAAGCGTATATCAAGAAAACGGTTTGGATGCGCTTTTTGTGGATTTCACCGGTTCTTCCCCCTGTAGCTTGTTTTAGCTCTCTTTTAGTACTCTTTTAATATCCTACAGGGGTGGATCTACAACAGCCACATCCAAACCGTTGTCTAGACTATATCGCTCAGGGAAAATATATGACTTCCGTATTTCCATAACAAAACAAGTCTCTCTAGACTAAACAAATATCTCCTTAATTAAAACAAAAAAACACATTGCGGAGCAGTCTTCAAACTCTAACATGTATCAGTCACGTCGCTTGATCCTGCTCCGAGGTTGCTATCACAGCGCAGTCGGCGGAATGAGGCATCGGCTCTAAGGCATCTTGGCTCAACTTGAAGCTATGGGATTTCCCTATGAGACGTCCTGGTTGGAGAGTGGCAAACACATAGTCAGCCCCAAGAATGCTAAGGTCCAGCTCCTGTTTTAGGCAAGGGCAACCAGGCAACCAGGCCCCTAATTTCCACCACTGAAGGATCCATTGTGCATAGCAAGTGCCAATACTTATGACGTCTGGCTGGCATGTCCGCGGATGGCATCCTTGCCATTAGGAAAAGAACACCGCGACTGAACGATGATTCTCAAAATTGACGTGAGCAACTCATGTTCTGATTGAACCTGCTCATCGAAGGAGCCCTCTCCCTATCGGTGCGACACACTTCCGTGTCTGCCGGCATTTGCACGGTTTCGGCAAGCCCGGCCGTAGGTCTTCGTCGAGCTCCTTACTTGCAACCAGTGGTTTGTGCCCCAGGGCGAAAACAACATCGTCCCTTCTGTGTTGGTGGATCTTGAAGGGAAGCCAACGGAAAACAACTAACCACTCATTTTGTCACTGGGTTCCGCAACCTGCTTTTTGGGAAATGCCAAGACTCAAGAAGGAACCACACCTTTTTTGCGCTGGCTAAGTTTAATGGGAAGCCCGCTCAAAGACAAGAAGCAGCCCTGGTTTGTCAACTGTCGGCCAATTTTTCAAAACAACCTAGAAAATGTAGAGTAACTGGTACGGCAGCCAACAAAACGGCGCCTGTGTTGCATTGGACTTTACAAGACACTAATGACACCCCCTCCAAAAGCAACAGAAGGCAAAAGCAAGGAAAGAAAGCAAGACCACAAACACATCCATCGCACAATTCTTTTCTTGAACTGCTGCGCTTCCCGTGGAGTCCACCCAAACCCGAAAAAGTAATCAGAAGACTGAAAAACACGGGGGCCCGGACCTCTCACGATTTATATCGAGCGGAGCGAAAAAAGGAGAGGCCAACTTGTCACCCTAAGGCCACCTCTAACACCATTCCCCTTTCCCGGAAAAAACGGAGTGGCGCAACATTTATGGGGGGAAGCTCGGTCAATTCGCCAATTTGCACGAGAAGGCTGAAAACCCCGGGGCCAATTAATTTCTTGCACGATTTCGAGCGGAGCAAAATAACAAAAAATGATGGGGGGGGGGGGGGGAGCTCGTTCCGTCAGTTCGCCATGACGGCGTCGCAGGTGAGCTCCAGCAGCGCAGAGGCGGCGTCCAGCTGGGAGCTGACCTCGTGCTCCCGGAGCCGCGCCTCCACCTGCCGGCGACTCAGTGAATCGGCGCTCCTGTGGGCTTTGGGCCCCTTCTCCGATTTTTTGGGCGACTCTCTCATGGCCTGTTTTTTATAGATATATATATATATATACATATAAATTGGGAAACCCCCGAAAAGAAGCAAAGGTCGACTTGATTTGTTTTCTTTTCTTTCCGGCATATCCGAGGTTGGAAGCCACTTGTGTGATACCAAAGTGGGATTCCCAATCCTGTGACTACTTTATCACTTGGAGATTCTCTTGGCCCAATCTCGGAAAGCTACAACCACGGACTCTAACAAGCTAGTCGGGTTGGTCTGAGAGATCTCCTGGATACATGTTCTAACTGTTTGCTATTAGGGAAAGAGTCATTTTCCAAAAGGCTAAACAACTGCTCCCCTGCCCAGCTGGTGTTGTGCGGCAAAGGTGGGCACTCCGTCTGGTATTTGCAGAGGGCACGTGGAATGCAGACTACTTTATATCATGTCAATGTCCTTTGGTTCTTTGTTGTACTTCTTCAGCCTTTGTTTTCAATGCACCTCCCATCACCAGGCTTAGACAGCGATCAAACCAGCACTGATTTGAGTGTCGAATAGGGGGCTCTGGAAAACAAAGGTGGGTGTATCTTTGTTGAGGGTATCTTTTTTGGCAGTTTTCAAAGGTAAATTAAGAGGAAACCGGGGTCCCCTTAAAAAAAAAGAGGTATGAATACGATGGACTTCTGTTGACAAAACGAGTGTCTAACCTGTAAGCCAGCGGCTAACACTAGCTGAAGCGGGTTCGGGGGTTGCCGGGGTTCTCTGGGATAGACCCCAGGCCCAGGTTACTCAAAGAGATGGTCGTGATTGTGACAAGAGGTTTCGTGACATAAAGCCCGGCCCTGAACAAGGACAGCATACTTATCGTCAATAAAGCCCAGCCCTGAACAAGGACAGCACACTTATCGTCACAAAAGAGACATATTCGCACCGGGTGTTCATAATTGAGCATCTTGGAAACGTAACCAAGATGCAAAAAGGGGCGAGGACATTGTGGGCTTGTCATCAGAAATGTTTGGCGGAAACGTTTTCTTGGCTTCGCATTGCTAACTTAACTGCGTGGTTTCTCATGCTCTCTGTTAGTTATTTCATTGGTTGCTCATTTTAAGCTTGAACCCCCTCAAGGGTGCGCATGTGCAGCGGACAGGTGGTTGCCTTTGTATGCTACGGTGACCCTAGCAATGACGAACGGGTGTGAACTCTTTTCTGACTGCATGTGGCATGGGTGCCAAACAGTTTGGGGCACTGTTTGGACTTCTGTGTGTCCCCCATAAACATCATCCCAAGAGAGGCCCAATTAAGATGATGTTTCAACCACCTGAGGGACATTCGTTCGAACCGCTGGCCAACGGCATTGTTTGAGAGCTGTGCCACCGAACAGCTGATCAGCCCGCCTTCTGCCTGACCATGCTGCGCATGTTTATGACCAACGTGTAGATGCACGGCAGCAACACACACTCCACCATGATCAACGTGCCCGGATACCTCGCATGAAGGGCACAACAGCGGCTGCCTGTACTGGTTGCTTCATTTCGGAAAGGAAACCCTTCCCAGATTCAGACCCTCTGTGCAAAGCTGACGTTTTGCCGGGGAAAATAAAGAAAACCCAGAGCAACACGGCAACAAGGCCCGCATTTAAACCCAGATGGAATCCACTGGCAGCTGCTGAAGGAAGTTGTCCAGCTTCTCCTCAGGCTCCGCCAGAAATGAGCGGGAGAGCATCAAGGCAGTGAGGAACACATAGCACACACCGCCCAGGCACCGGTTCTGCACGAACCTCAGGGGGAAATTCCGCTGTCCACTTGGGATGCATTGTTGGTATCTTGGAACCCACGGATTGCTACAAAACAAATGCTAAATGGACAGAGCAAGAGGAGATAACATCGCAAAACAAGACATGTCTTGTTCGGTCCAAATCGTGACAAGGCTACGGGTGGAGACAACCTTCAGTTTCATCCCAGTGATTTTCCATTTACCTTTAGTAGGGAACCCCACATAGAAAACAACTGAAAGGCAACAAACAATGGCTCTCTCTGACCAAGGCACACAGAGGACGGCACTTGGATCACGATGAGGCAAAAGAAACGAATGTTCCAGGAATGATTCGCCTTGCTGCCCAAGGGCGATACCAAGAGCGCCACCAGACCGTTGAGAAAGAAGCACAACCTGCCGTTCCCTCAACCCTCGGCTTAGCATAGTGTTGGTTTGGCTTGAAGTGATTGGAGTTGTCAAGGGGTGATAGTGGTTCAAATGTCCTAACCAATCTAATCCACCAATCAAGAATTACTTGGACCCCGGGTTTTTGTCGGAGCAAGCTCGGT